AGCATTCTACCACTTGAGCCACAGCACTACTTCTGGCTTTTTCTGTTTATGTGGTCCTGAGGATTGAACCCAAGGCTTCATGCATGCTAGGCAGCACTCTACCAGTAAGCCACATTCCTAGCCCTGAGTCTACCTTTGCTCACACTTTTCCATTGACTGTCTGCTACACTGTCACCAGACTCACCTTCTAGAAACATCTGAGCCCCAAACCTTCAAGGCTTCTGTGGTCCCCATCATCAGAATATCTATCTTCTTCCACATGCTCTCTAGGGTCCTTTGTGACATGACTCTAGGCCTCTCCCATTCCTAGGTGTTGCTGTCACTACACCAGGATCCCTTCCTGTTTCTAGAAGGGACCTGCGCCTTTCCACTTTCTGTATAAACACTCACTGAGTGCCTTGCAGGTGCCAGGCTGCTGAGGTTGGGACACACGTGTGCACAGACAGCTTAGTCCTTGTCCTTAAAGAACATAGACTTTAGCAGAGAAGACAGGCAGTGAAGTGAGCAGCAGTGCGAAATGTTCAGAGCATTGCCAACAATAGCTGAACCCTGTTAGGGGCCAGGAAGACCTTTCCTGAACACTGAGACTTCCCCCAAGACCTGATGGATAAGTTACCCGAAGGGTCAAAGTGCTAGCAGCCATGTGTGGAAATGAATGTGAAGTGCGAGGGGAGAGGTGGATTCTTGGGGGTCGCCCATGTCCCAGGCACATTCCCTCTCAGCTCTGCTCTTCCTCCTGTTCCCTTCCAGCCCACCTTCCTGATAGAGTGCCCTCCTGACGGCCACCTTCACCTGGTCTTTTGCTATTTCCACATTCACTCCTTTCTTCCTGTCATGAGTACCACAGTTCAAGTCATTGGGTTTTTTTTGTTGTTGTTGTTGTTTTGAGCATCTCATCACCTCTTACCTAAAATGGCCTATATCTCCTAGCACGTGCATCTTGATTTTCCCTCCACTGTCCCCCATGCAGTCTCCCCAGGTAGACTGAGGCCTGTGCTTGGCATCCAACACCAGACCAGTCCAGCAGGTTTCATGCACACTCTGGCTGCTGCAGCAGCTGCTTAGTGGCCCAGCCAGCTTTCCTGACAGCCTTCTGTGTGTTCACATGGACTTTCCTCTCCTGTAGGTGGCTGTGGCGTGGGAAACCTGACAGAGCCAGTGGCTGTTTCATTGCGGCACTGGGCCGAGGGGGCTGACCCCATGGCAGCCTGGTGGAGCCAGGAGGGATCTGGGGGCTGGAGTTCTGAAGGCTGCCAGCTCCGCTCCAGCCAGCCCAATGTCAGCTCCCTGCACTGCCAGCACTTGGGCAACATGGCTGTGCTCATGGTAGGTGGTCTGGTGGAAAGGTGAGGGAACAGAAAGCATGAGAGCGAGGATCGGGTATTCTGGTCATCTGGGGCCACAGAGACATAGAAGGAGAACAGCAGCTTTATTGTTATTACTGTTGTTGTTAGCACCAATTAGTCATACAAGTAAATTTCATTTTTAACATGTCCATTTATGTACACAGTGCATCTTCATCAGGACAACAGCCTTCAAACTGTCACAACTTGTGGGAAATAGCCCAGCGGTCTCTCCCACACCTCTTCATCTTCCTGCAGACAGGGAAAGCCTGCCCCCATTCTCATGTCTAGAGAGAGATAAATCTAGAACTACCTAGCTTAGTCTTTATATATTGTACTTTTTTCCCCCCTGTGCCAGTTTTGGGGCCTGAACTCAGGGTGCTATCCCTGAGCTTTTTTTTTTTTTAATGCAAGACTAGCAGACAAGCACTTGAGCCACAGCTCCACTCTTGGATTTTGGGAGGAAGTTAATTGGCGATCAAAGTCTCATGGCCTTTCCTGCCCAGGCTGGCCATGGTCCTCAGATCTGAGCCTCTTGAGTAGTTAGTATTACAGGTGTGAGCCACAGGCACCGAGCTGTACTGTACTTTCTGAGACCTGAATTCTTAAAATGGAAAAGCAATCTGGGATCATTTCTCCTCTTTCCAACCATTCCCAACCCTATCACATTTCATATCCTGTTTTTCCACACACTGAGCAGGTATGCAGCTGTGTCACAGACAGAAACTTCTTCAGCTCTTTCCTCATTTCTAAAACATCCTCATAAAGGCAAGATACTATGAGGAAGAAAATAAAGCAGGTCACTGTCATTGTTCCCTAAGGCTGCTTGTTCTGAATGGATGTCCACATGTCTACCTGGTCAGACTAAGCACCAAGGGGTAGTCCAAAGCTTATGGGGCTTAGGAAGAAGGTAACTGGCCAGAGTGGAGCAGCTCTGTAGTTTTACTTCTCTCTTCCAGGAGCTGAACGCTTTCCCCAGGGAAGCAGGGGGCTCTGGGGCCAGCCTGCATCCTGTGGTTTATCCCTGCACCGCCCTGCTGCTGCTCTGCCTCTTCTCCACCATCATCACCTACATTCTCAACCACAGGTGGGAGCTGTTCTTCAGGGAAGGAAGGTGGGGAGCAAGACAGCAGGTCTCATCAAGGACTGGCAGGTGTTTCTTAGGGAGGTCCATGTGATCTGCCCAGGTTCTTGCTTTGCTTGTATCTGAATCTTTTGGGCTTAGAGAATACTTTTTGTGAATTAAGAACTTCCTCCTGGTGCCAGGGGTTGCATTCACACACATGCAAGCACATACATAGATATACCTTCCCCTTTGTGACTATCATAGTAGCTTCAGATCCTATGGGTTGGGCAGCCTATTAATGAAAGACATTCTTTTGGGGCAGCTCCATCCACGTGTCCCGGAAGGGCTGGCACATGCTGCTGAACCTATGTTTCCACATGGCCATGACCTCTGCTGTCTTTGCGGGGGGCATCACACTTACCAACTACCAGATGGTCTGCCAGGCGGTAAGCAGAAGGAACTACGAGATGAGTGATGACAGTAGGGAGATGCGCAGCAAGAACAGACTCATGGGAACAGGCCCCGGCTCCACTGTTCTCTGTGCCCATCTTAAAGGGGTAGGGGAGAAGAGGTGATATGGAGAGCCTGGGGAAGTGGAGTGTTCAGAACCAGGCCGGAGAAAATTGGAGACAGCTTCAAAATGGAGAGGGAGAACAGTAATGGAGGAGAGGTTAGGGGTGAGGGAGGCAGCAATGGCTGGGTTCTGGAGAATCTCTGCTAGGAGAGAAGCTAGATGGAAATAGAAAGGACAGCAGCAGGGACAAGCTTAATGGGTGCCATGAGATTGGACTGGGTCACGAGAACGTTGTGGGTGAGGGTGCTGGAACCATGGGAGGATGGGGAGCATCCCAGCCACTGAGGCTCCAGGATGGCTCAGGTGGGATAGCCCAGGCCCTCAGCCTCAGTGCCTCAACCCCTAGGTGGGCATTACTCTGCACTACTCTTCCTTGTCCACACTGCTGTGGATGGGGGTGAAGGCTCGAGTCCTGCACAAGGAGCTGACCTGGAGGGTACCTCCTCCGCAAGAAGGGGACTCCACCCTGCCTGCTCCCCGCCCCATGCTCCGGTTCGTATGTTCACCTGCTAGCTTTGCCTTGGGATCTGGGGTGAATGAAGGGTAAACCGAAGGTTCCTTGGGATCACTCAAAGACCTTGGAGCAGCCAGGTGATGTCAGGCCGTGGAGTGGGCGTGTCCTGCTGGCTTTGAGGGCCAGAGGTGACAGGAGATCCAGAGCAGCTGAGCAGCATCCCCTGGCTTCTGCAGCTCTCAAGGTCTTTCTTAGAATAGTCTTGACCAAATCCTGGAAGGACCTGTCAGGCCTGCCCTTATGGGCCTTGCATCCCTGGCAAAAACAAAGCAAAAAACCCAACCAAAACAACAAACAACAACAGCAAAAAAACCCTGTTGCGACAGATTGACAGGGGAGAAAAAAAGAAACAGAGACACCAAGGCAAGGATTCTGAGCACCTGCTTCTTCCTTCTCTCGTTTCTCTGACCTCCAAACCCTATCCCCCTCCAGGTTTTATTTGATCGCTGGAGGAATCCCACTCATCATCTGTGGCATCACAGCTGCTGTCAATATCCACAACTACCGAGACCACAGTCCCTAGTGAGCATCACTCTTCTGTTCCCGTTGCCTGCCTGCCACCCCTCCCCATACCTTCCCCTCCACTGGCGAGGGCACCTGCCAGTGCCTACCCAGCAAGGGACCCTCCCCTAAGGGAGGCTAAGCACACTGGGTTCTGCCTCCCCATTCGTATCCAGCTTGTGGACCACCCAACCTGTGAGCCCTACTTATCCACCACCTCTCTATCTCCCCTCAGCTGCTGGCTGGTGTGGCGGCCGAGCCTGGGTGCCTTCTACATCCCGGTGGCTTTGATTCTGCTGATCACCTGGATCTACTTTCTGTGTGCTGGGCTGCACCTACGCGGTCCTCTGGCACAGAGCCCGAAGCGGGGCAACAGCCGGCTCTCCTTGGAGCCGGGGGAGGAGCCGAGAGGTCCCACCAGGCTCAGGAGCAGCGGCGCCCTGCTGAGTGACTCGGGTTCTCTCCTGGCTGCGGGGAGCGCTGGAGTGGTGACTCCCGGGCCCCCAGAGGACGGCGACAGCCTCTATTCCCCAGGGGTCCAACTGGGGGCGCTGATGACCACGCATTTCCTGTACCTGGCTATGTGGGCCTGCGGGGCCCTGGCCGTGTCCCAGCGCTGGCTGCCCCGCGTGGTGTGCAGCTGTCTGTACGGGGTGGCGGCCTCCGCGCTGGGTCTCTTCGTCTTCACGCATCACTGTGCCAGGCGCAGGGACGTGAGGGCCTCCTGGCGCGCCTGCTGTCCCCCGGCCTCAGCCTCGGGCTCGCACGCCCCGGGCCGGGCCCTGCCCACCGCCCACGAGGACGGCTCCCCAGTGTTGGGGGACGGGCCGGCTTCCCTCAAGTCCTCCCCGAGCGGCAGCGGAGGCCCTACGCCGGCGCCGGGTCCCTGCAAACTCACCAACCTGCAGCTGGCTCAGAGTCAGGGGTGCGACGCGGGGCTGGTGGCCCGCGGCGCGGTGGAGCCGGAGCCCCCCGGCCCGCGGGGGAGCCTGGCTCCCCGACACCCC